GGGAAACGGTCAAAGAACCGCATCAGGGCCTCGTCCGCGCTCCTCCGTCGCCAGCGGGTGGCCGTTCCCAAGTGGACACGCAAAATGTGGTTGAAAGGGCCGCCCGCCGATCGTCCTACATGCTACTATGTACGTGCGGTCTGCGGAGAAGCGTCGCTTGTAACATTGGCATTAGCAAATTCGAGGTTCGTCTTTAGTAATGGCGTCTTGCCATAGACCTCTCCGTCGGTATCGTGGCCTAGCCTCATGCTGGGGAAGGGAAGCTGTGGCCACGGGACGTCCCCCCGGGATCAGTTTGCGGGGAACGGCACGAGATGAGAGGCACGCGACGAGCTTAACTGAGCGTTGGGCCAGGCCCCGATCTCGAGTCCCGCTTGGTGAACCCTTGAACATTGAAGGGCGGCCGGATATGTGAGCGGGCAGCACGACGATCCTTCCGTGTGTAAGTAAGCCGCGTAGATGGGCATTGTCTTGCGAATCCAGCTGGAATAGCTGGCGCTTTCAGGCCGGCAGCTTCAGGACCATTGTGGGTGTTTTGCAACCAACTAGAGCCTGCTGAGAAAGCGGGCTGGGACTTTTGTCCACTCCCCTCCGATACAAGTCCGCTTGACAGCTCGACGCAATAGAGGACGTTAGTTTATAGAGTTGCTGCGGCTCTGATGATGCAAGTTCCCCATCAGGAGTCGACTGCAGCGTGGCCGCTGGAGCCGCGTAGTCATGGCAGACTTATTCGTAAATCCACACGAATCACTGCAGCTGACCCAAGGTACAAATGGTGAGGATAGGCTATCGCCACCAAACCAGACTCGAGCCCCAGACTGAGCCAGGCAACCGAGGAACTCGCCAACATGCCCCCTTCGGTGACGGTTTTGAGCAAGACCCTTTATGAAGCCTGCTCCACCCCATGACCTCGAGCCGATCCCATTGGCGGCCGTTTTTGGCGCTTGTCATTCGCTAGCCAGTATATAGACACGCTTGTCTGTGTTGAGATCGAGATTGCAACGTTGCAGCGCCAATGAGACGGCGGCAAATCATTCAAGACCCCCGAGGTTTGAGGCAAGCCGATTCGACGAGACGGGATGGGCAAGAACGGACGAGGGACGATCATGACATGTGTGCTGAGAGAAAGGGGAATTGCGTCCAACTGGCAGAATCCAGTCATCGGTGTCCCTTCTCCTTCACGACCACGCTTTGGCATATCTGGGGCCGTCTAAAAGCACCGGGAATAGTGTACGACAGGGGGGGAACGGACTGTGACTAGCCAGCGTTCTTGGGCGCACCCGTCGAAGCGACATCACCTGTCAATCCAACCGCCGGTGTCAGTGCTGTAGCAAATTTCCGAGCAGGGATAGGGGCGGATGCTTCAAATGGGGCCAGAACATGTCGGTGGAATGGCTGGATTCGAAATGTCGAGGTTCAAGAGATGGCGAGAGAACGAGAGGGACAGAGCAGTTGGCGGCTCGGAGAGTGCAGGGATTGATATTAGACAGGGGTTCGAGCCAGAGCCAGCTGGCAAATAGGTACTACGGTATCTGTATAGTAGTCCTCGCAGCGGCTGCAACGCGGGATGATGATGATGAGTTGGGACGCGGTACAGGCGGGTGTGCCATCATCGGCAGGAATCTTTAACGTAAGGTGAAGTCAGGCACTGACGACACGAACGGTGACGTTCATGGCGCCATGTGGTCAAGACGATTCGAGGAGACGCATGACAGTCTGCACCACGACCTGAGCAAGCCTCGAAAGATGAGCGATGCATGCGCCCTCGTTCTGCGCCAGGCCATTCTTGATAACAATGAGAGTCCGAGTCGAGGCGGCGAGTGAACGGAGCAATCCTGGCGGGAGATGGTTGGGGGTCACCCCTCTGCTCACCTCACCGACCAGCCTAGCGTGGAATCGAGGGGCAGGTCCCGGGGTTCGGATGAAGTGGCGGTGGGCTCACTCCCACTTGAGAACCGCAAGAGCTACATGAACAGTCTAGCCGCTACCCCTGCCCATCGAGCTAACGGCTCGTGGTCTGGACGAAAATCATCAGGCCCGTCAGTAGTCAATTCTCACGTCAATGATGTGGTCTCTAGGACGGAACGGACGAGAGAGGCCTGCTCATCGCCGCTAGCACAAGCGTCCACCAGGCGGAATAGAGGAGAAAAAAGGTGTGTGTGCGTGCGTCTCGGGAGATGGTGTTGGCAACCACAGCAACCCGCGGCCAATCACGTTGTCAAGGCCTGATAGAGTTAAACCGGCATCAGGGATGCTATGAGAGTGGTGGGAGGTGGGCGGAAGGGGATTTTGTGCGGATGTACGACGGAGCGAGTGAGTGGCCTCTACCTATCTCAGTTGACTATTTGATGACCAACGCAGATAGCCAACCATTCCGAGACCGAAGGTTGGGGGTGGGGGTCACTGATTGATCGAGCGAAGAGGAAGCAGATGACGGCAGTGGGCCAAGCTCGAACAGGTTCGTTCTCTCGGCTGGTTGGCTAGCTCTGACCGGAGGAGTTCGCGCGTTACGGTGACGGTTGACGGATGACGGGAGGGTACGCACTTGGAGACGGCAGAGTCGAATTTAACTCGTCAACGGGGGGATGAGCCGGCCGCCGCGCTAACGGGCTCGAGGACTTTTTGCATCGAGTGAGGCTTAGACACCCCCCCTGGACGGAAAATGGCGTTTTGGTAGCTTCTATGCATGCTTCCTCGGTCCTTCTAGCGTTCCGAAGTGCATCCTCGCACTAAGCAGAATGTGTATCGCTCGTCGTTGGTGTACGTGCGTGTGTGTATGTGTGTGTGTGTATGCGTGTGTGTGGCTGTCAATATGTGAGTGCACCAGGAAAGGCAGCTAACGGACCTTTGCTCTCGACGACGTCGCCATCCTGGGTGGCATCAGAGACTCATGAACCATGTTCGACGGTGCTTTGACGCGATATCATCAAAAGAAACCAAGAGTCTCGTGGAGCCATGCCATGCAAATTAGAACTGCCATTCTGGGAGTCGTCCGCGCCTCGCATCGGCCTCTGATTCGCCGTCCGCAGGTTCTGTACGATGCGTTCGTCTCACAGTGAAAGCAAATGCACGTCAACTTGTCTCCTGCACACGGCTCTCCCGACGTCCCGTCGCACAGCCCCAGCCCTGCGGTAGTTGAGGGAGCGGAGTAAGGAACGGCAGTGCACAATCATGGGGCTGCCCTCTCGTTGCCCATTCCGAGAATGAGTCCGGTGCCAACCTGCTATTCCTGGAACTCGTTTGCGAAGCCAATATAATCTGTGCAAGGGCACGAGGAAGAGGCCGAGGATCGCCTCCCTAGGGGACAGGCAGTATCGTCATGAATCGTGGACGCAGGTTTTGGCAAGGTCATGAAAACTGTCTTGGCCATGAATTTGTGCGCTTTCCAAGAAACAGACAGGGGAAGGAAAAAAACAACGGCCCCGGAAAAAGAAACAAAAACCACTCTCCTTGACTCGGCATAGTCATGCTGGGGGTGGCTTTTCCGGTCTCTGGCAAGGGCGTCAAGCTGAAGAAGCGTTACCGCCGAGGTTTGCCATTTGCCCCGGTTCGCTGAGAAATTTTGCGCCCCCAAGGCAAGCTGATTTGGACGAAACCCTTTATTTACAGCCTTCGGAGCTGAAGCAACATAGGAGTTTGGCTTCCGACGCCAGGGCGCCGATCAAGACCGGTGGTAAGGGGTTGTGGGGACCTATGAATTGTCGGTCGGGTCCGACCTGGACTTTGACAAGAGTCTCGGGGCGCAGCAGATTGGGCAGCATCGAAATAACAGAGACGGAGAAGGGGGACGGCCGAGACCAGCAAAACAGGGGAGAGAGCATGTGAAGGATGGAGACGGCCGATGTTGGTAAAGAAAATCGGGGCCAACTCCGGCGAGCCCCATGATGACGATCCCGTCCCTCTACCGCTCCCATGGCTGGCTGCTGGGCCTGACCTGACGTTGATCTCCCTGTCTTACAAGGCTTCGCTGATGGATAAGAGGAAATATTGACTAGGTTTGGTTCTGTCGGAGCACAAACTCGTCGGTGCATCTGGCACAAGCGAGACGCTCTAGTGCGATGGGCGCGCGTAGTGCTCTTACCGCAACGTCAACCAGCATCGACGTGTGGATTTTCTTGGTTTAACTCACATGAAGCTAGGGGGTGTTGTCCTCGGAACCACGATTGCGGCGAGTTTCCTGCAAGATTTGAGACACAAACATGTGGCCAGCAAGTATCTGTACTTGGAGCGGGCGCCTTGGGCATTTTGCTCTGCTCTGGGCAAATAGGCAGATAAGGCAGAGAGAGCCAAGGCGGACGGTCGGTCGGTCGGTTCTTAGTGAGCGAAGGGTTGCCGAATGTTGTTGAGATCGAAGCTCTGTGTGTCAACTTACCAGGGTCTGCTCAGGAACAACAATATCAGGACGGACTATTGCTACTGGTTCGAGTCACACAACCGTGATAATGCGCTTGCGGCGTTGGTGTCTTCTAATGGCTCAAATCGACTGCAGGAGGATGTCATCAGAAGCGCAAGCGAGGTTGGTAGGGGGAATATGAGACGGCGAGGGTTGAGGCCAAAGCACTGTAGTGGACTCTTGGGATGCAATGGTTCTGGCAAGCCTCGGCTATGTGGTTGACATTTGGAAGACGCATCCATATCGTACAACTGCTCGGTGCTTGGTGGGGTGAGATTTGTATGCTGGTCGTCCTCCGGCTCCAGCATATCAACGAACTGGAAGCGTCGATTGAGCGAGGCTTCCCTTCCCGCCTTGATGACGGGAAGAAGCTGAGGTTCATCACAAAAGCTTGCAAGACGTCAGAACGCCCGTCGCACTCATTTCTTCGTCCTCCTTCTTTCGTTCCCAATGCCTAGTACCGAAGGAAGCCGCTGGCCAAGAATGGGAAAGGAAAGCAGTAGGCAGGTACGGATGATGATGATGGTGTGGGAGTGAGCGCGATAGTGTGTGTGTGTGCCTGGAGGCTGCATCCCCCTCTCTTCCTCCCCCCCCCTCTCTCACCACCATGGCGCCTGGCCTAGAACTGCAAGTCACCTCTATCGAAGGCGGTTGGCCTCTGGATAGGTTGCCCGACGGCAGAAGGCGCGTCGAAGTCTGCATGGAAGGTCCTGCGAAAGCGCCGCCCGTTCTGTTGCACCGCGCAGAGGCTGCGAGGCGCTGCAACTGTCCTGCAATGATACACACTCTGACGCTCCTGGGCCTAGCGCCACGGCGCAACTAGCTCGGAAGGCAACAAGCGCAACGGCAGGCCAAGCCTTTGATGGCCGCCGTAGCCTGCCCTTCTGTAGTATCGCAGAGATGAAGCCCTGGCCGGACATGCTGGGTTGAAGCAAGGTAAGGGTGATTCAGTGTGATGAGATACATGATGTTGCTGCCTCGGAGACCGGAGTGGGATGCTGGAGGGATGATGCATCAAGGGGCAGGGTAAAAGGGGTGGGCAGAGAATGAAACCCAACGTGTCTCTTTACGACGGTATCATCTGCAAAGAGAAGCGCAACTGCCAGTGCCAATGTGACTGTCTGTGCTGTGCCTTGGGGTACCTTACCTATGCCAGGAGGCAGGAGGGAGTCTTCGGGTGCCTTTCCCTCGAGTACCGGCGCAAATTCTCCAGTGCGGCCGGGACGGAGAAGAGGACTCCTGCATCCCGCCCCCCTCTCCACACCTCGCACCCAACATATCTCAACCCACCCCAACTCACTTCACCTCGCTCATCTTGCCTTGGCTTGCTTTTGGCACCCATCGAGCACGGAGTGCCTATTGTCTTGGCCATGTTGCATCAGAAAACGGCAGTCTTTGCTGCTGAATCAGGCACACTGGCAGCCGATAATATGTGCATTATTTTGGACGACCGCCCTCTCGGACAGGTTCAACCAGAGCAAACTTGGAATGTCGCCGTGCTTCCACCACCTTTGCCAGGGTCCACCGTCCGTCAAACAGCAGATCACTACAGAATACGATGTTGGTTGAGCCATGGAAATTTCATACTCGGCCGCCTGGGATCAGAGTGAGCGCGACGACGGACAGGGTTCTTGGGCTAAAGATAACGAAATCTCTTTCAAAACAGCCGCCGCTGATATAGGAAATGGATACAGAGTATCCGTGTATGCCCACGGATATTAGACACATGCAAAGTGCATCGCCCGCTCCACCAGGACCCCCCATCAACCACCACCCTGTCGCCAGAGGCCACACGACAGAACAAGGCTCATATTGCCAAATACGGCCGCCGACTTGTGTCTGCCGCGGCATCTACATGTCGCACTGGCACTCTATGGGCTCGGGCGTCTTGCATCTGCTTGGAAATCAGGAACAGAAACTTGAATAGGAACAGGAAATCTCCACGGATGGTGGCCGTGTATGACGGGTGAACCCCCGTGCCCCACGACCGCGGCGGAGCAACTCTGGTCCATGCCCAGCGGCTTTTGCCTTCTCCTACATTACCTACGGGTACGCTGTCAAAATGGTCAGTGTTAGGTGGGTGGGCTGAAGATGACGGATGAACACCCCGTCATCATCCCGGTCAGCTCGGTTCGAGCCAAAGCGTGCCGAGGGAAACACAAACAGACATAGGTACGCTCGGGGAGATGGAGATACAAACAGTCGCCGTCAGATTCCTGCCACTTGATGCGGGCCTCCCCGCCACCGTTGCGTACCTCAAGCGGCGGCCGACTGGTACTCTCGAGTATCTTTCGCCTTGGGCTCAGGTGCTGCACGCTTCGCCTATGCAGTCACGCTTTCTTCAGGTTCTTCCCCCCGGCACGGAGACAAACGACCAGCATCACCGCGCCGTTCCAGTACCTGTTTCTGTCACATGCATTTCTCTCCTTCCCTCACTTGCGTTTCGCTGTCCCTGGACCTGTTCGCTCGCCCGGAGCCATCGCAATCTTCTAAAGGGACAACTCCAAGACACAGTCTCAAACCCCACGCGTCCACCGGCCGTTGACTGGCTCCTCCCGTCATCTCAGCCAGATCTGCCGGACGGGATTGCCCAGCTATGGCTTTCCATCGACATACGCTGCTTACCTGTGTAATTGGTTGGGTCAAATGACGATGGAGGGGGCTGCCTGTTAGCCCAAACGGTGAATTTTGGCCCTTTAGTTCCTTGTTCTCTTCGTTTGCCAACCAACGCTATTCGTACCACTATCATCATCGTGTCGACAAGAGGGCCCTGCCTTACTTTACCTCAGTTTGGCTCGTCAAGCTTCGAGTACCGCTCCAGCCTCACCCCCGTCAACGACAATTGCCCGCGTCTCTTTTAGCTCGCGGCGCCTGGTTTCTTGCCTGCAGCAGGCCGAAAGTTAATTGCCCACAGGCTTGTCGTTCTTCACAGGCGCCTGTCGAGATTCTGGATGCAGCAGAAGCACGCAAGCTAGCTGGCTTGAGCCTTAGCTGCCAATCACCCTTGACCTCGGCCGCCGTCTCCGCCCTCGCCGTTGTCGTTGTCCTTGCATGCGCCAACCTTGTCCAGCCATGCCCTGTAGCGCGGCAGATGCAGCAGCATTGCATCGCATCGAGCTGCTAGCAGGGGTTCTACTCAAGGAGAGCAGGGTGGGTTCGTGGTGGGTTTGCAAAAGGACCTGAGCTAGGTTGAGGCTAGACGCGAAAAGGAGCAACAGCCAGTACTTAGTACATGGCTCGGAGTGTAGGCGCCCCCATCTCGGAGACTCACTTGAGTGATTGACCGTGCTGCTCTCACTCACAGGTGTCAGAACGAAGACTGCTTTGTCTCGTCTCGGGTGTTTCAGCAGAGTTTACGAGCAAAAGGATTCAAAGACAGAGGAGTCTAAGGCTCAACAATAGCGGATGGAATGACTGGCAAATGGGAATCCTCAAAAGCCGTTTACGACGTGTGCTATGTCCGATGGATCGACTGTCGGTGTCTCGTCTTGTCCGATATCTCGCGCTGTCGGATGCGCCAGACGGGAGAGGCGGGTTTGTGGGCTGGCAACGTCGTCAGGTACCGAGGAATACGAATTGTTAGGGGCCGGATACCTCGCGGTAGGGATTGCAAGCGCCGCCAAAGCGGACTTCTTCTTATCCCTCGCCTGCTTGCCTTGACTGGTGCCGTGCATTGATCATTCTCCGTCTCGTCTCCTTTACCCCCCGCAATCCTCTATCACGTCTTATCTTGCTGGCCTCCCGTGCTATGGGTTCCTTTGCGGTGACCGGGTGGAACCTCCATTCATCGTATGTCATCGATCATGGTGATGACCTTTTTCTATCTCAACGGCGGAGACCGGACATTGGTAACATGGAATCTTGACGGGTTCGGCCGATCAAGGCGCGAAGAAGGCACTCACACCGACCTAATGAGACCGACTTGCTCGAGACTCCCCAAGCGTTACGCTTCTCCAACCGGGCTCTCGACCGTCTTCTTGGAGAGTCCTTCATCCAGTCACTTCTCCGCATCTGTTCTCCTCTTCCCCAACATCGTCAATCAAGGCAAGTGCCAACTAAAGCCATTCATCCGTACCTCCCACTTCTAATCGAGGCGGGGAGAGGATTGAGGCATGCAACCCCTCCAAAGACCGGACGACAAGGACCCCTGCCGCATCGTCCGTCCACACATCTTGAGCACAACAACCTAAAATCGCGGGCAAGACAGCGTAAAGGCAGGGTACCTGGAACCCTGGGCTGTGTACCTGCAATAAGATGGGGACTCCCTCTCTTGCTAGGCAACCCCCTGCTCCTCAGACATCTGGCAACGGACCCGCTGATCTGCTCATCTTCACCCTGCCACTCTCTCTTTTCACTCGCTCTAGCCTTGCCTCCCACTCTTAGTTGTGTCTCTCGAGCCCTCAGTTCCCGCGGCCACTAAGATCGAGAGAACGGCCGGGGGCCCAGAGACGAGGCACACTCCCCGATTGCTTTCCGTTGTCACACACCCACACAACCCGGCTCGCCTTCACGTAGGTTTCTCTCCTTCGGTCGACGTCGCCGCCCCCGGTCTCTTACCGTGCTGTGCGCTCCTCCTACGCATCCTCTCTACTCCTGCTTCTTCTTTCCCCACCCCCGTTGATGCTCTCTCCCACTCTCAAGTTGCCTCCTGCCCCCCCGTCGACCGCACATGATGTACTTCCACACTGCTTGTGCAATACCCGCTTCCCTCCCCCGGACGAGTTGCTTGGTGAAGCCCATGATCCATGCTCGCCGCCTGTATATCTCTAGCCAATCTCTCATCCATGCAACCGGCGGTTGCCAACGAGCACGCTCACCACATCCTGATCCATTTATACACTCCTCCTCCCCAAGGCTCGCCACACTTGGGATGCCATATTGTGCCTCTTGACTTATTCTCTCGCTTCCATCCTCTGCTTGTTTTACCTGCAGTGGCATACCACCTTTTACAATATTACCATTATTTTACCCATATCACTCAGATTGCGTGTGTTGTTTGACGCCCACATCATCCCGCTTCTTTCCTGACCGACAGCCGGTCCCGCACATGTACCACACGCACCTCACACCCCCAACCCGCCTTTCGACTTGAACAAGACAAGATGACTGCTCCTATAACCCAACAACAGTCGGCCCAGGCCAAAGACGCTGCCGCTGCCGCCTCTATACGGAAGCGGAGAAGACGCGCTCCCGCAGGTGGTGCCGCCGATGACTGCTTTACCTGCTCCAAGAGAAATGTCAAGTGCGATCGCAGACGGCCCTACTGCTCGCAATGTCTCGAAATCGGCAACGAGTGCTCTGGCTACAAGACCCAACTGACCTGGGGAGTTGGCGTTGCCAGCAGAGGCAAGTTGCGCGGCCTATCTCTTCCCATCGCGAAAGCGCCCCCCGTCGCTGGCGTCGCAAAGAAGTCGCCCGCGCGTCCCCGCGCAAACTCGACGGCCACCACCGCAGCATGGGCCGACGCCGACGACATGTCTCGAAGGAGTACGCGCGACGATGCCGGCTTCTCGCCGGAGCACGTTGTCTCAACACCCACGACGCCCTTCCCTCACAACTACGACATCCTGTCCATGTCACACCCCGAGCACACGCCATCCATCACGGCAGGACACTGGGGCAGTCTCCCGTATTCGAGCAGCATGCCGACTGACGGGCCCAACTACCGGAAACTGGGGGCTCACTTGGGCCCCATCCCCATCTCAGGAGCTATGTCGTCGTCCCTCGATTCTGTCAGCGACGCCGACTACATGTCGCCCATGAGCCATTCATACTCGAGAGACGACATTCCTTTTCTCCACAGCCCCAACGTCATGTATGACGGCTACAGCACCCATGGCTCGCCAGTGCCCCAGAGCCCCATCTCGGCCATCCTCATTGACCAGAGAGGAGCCCCTACATCGTGCCCGAGCCTCGTATACGCCCCGTCAGAACATAGCTCGAGCCTCCCATCGCACATGGACAACTTCGAAAGTCACCTGAGCCAGAAACTGATGCGGGAGTGTGAAACTCTGAGTGAGACGTCCTGTCCGGCTCTGCTTTAGGACCAGACTCGCTGACGTGACGGCATTAGGCATTCCCGAGATGGATGCGTATAGCACCAGCTGCAACTCCAACAGCCATGTTTGGACATCGCCTCCCCCGGAAGAGATGTCACCGCACCATTCCGACCGCCAAGCTTCGGCTCAGTGGCCTACCATGTTTGAGCCCCAGGCCGTCCACGTTAACTCAGACCTCATCTCCAAGATGCCCTTCTTCATGGACTACTACAAGAACATCATGTGCCCGTCCATGGTCTTCATGGACGGACCTGGCAACCCGTACAGGGAGCACATTCTCCACCTGGCTTCGAGTAGCCAGAGCTTGCAGCACGCCATCTGCGCCTTGTCGGCCTGCAACCTGCGGATGAAGCGCAGACTCAGCCTGGGCCAAGACACCCGTGAACTCTCCGAGAAGCTTATGGCCGAGAAGTCGACCGCCGAGTCGATGGAGGACACTCAGCCCGAGGACCAGTCTCTCTCGGAGGAGTACCAGCACCGGAACCTCGCGGTCCATCTGCTCAACCAGCAGCTCAACGACCCGGTCAAGTCCAGCCATGACTCGGTCCTGGCAACCATTCTGCTCCTCTGCCACTACCGCATGGTGGAGTCTGGCATTGCCAAGTTCCACACCCAATTCGCCGGCGTCAAGAAGATTCTCTCAATGCGGCGGTCGCAGAACCTGGCACCGTCCCGCGACTCTGCGTGGATGGAGGCCATCTTCACCTACTTTGATGCCATCTCGGCCAGCATCAACGATCGCGAGGCTCAACTGAACGCGACTTTCTACGGTGTCATGCCAGATGCCCAGCTTCTCCCCCCTGGCGCCGAGAACCTCGTTGGCTGTGACCGTGAGCTCTTCAAGACCATTAGCAAGCTCGGCAGGCTCAACCTGCTGTCGCAGCACCGCGCAGTTCAGAACCTCGTCAAAAACCCGTCTCGCTCTCAGTCGCCACTTGGCTCGCCTCTGGGCCACGCGTACAAGGCAAATATGAACGGCATGCACCACCAGCAAATGGGTGACATTTACAACCTGCCTAGCCATCGTTTCGACGGCAACGGCTTCGGCTCGACTCTTGACGACGATGAGTTTGTCTCTTCGTCGCTCTGCTCTTCGGCAACGTACGACGACCACCGCAACAACTTCTGGAGGGAGTGGAAGGAGGCTCGCCTCGCCCTCCAAAGCTGGGAGTTTGACTCGGCCCGTGTCCACGCTTCCCTCCCCTCCCCTGCCACCCCGGCGCAGGTCCGGGACCTTGGTTCATTGTCCGAGGCGTTCCGCTACGCCGCTCTGCTCTACACGGAGCGCTTGGCCTCGCCCAACGTCCCGTCGACGCACAGCAATTTCCAGAACTTGGTCTCTCAGGTCGTCTACTACGCTACGAGCTTGGAGGCCGGCAGCCAGGCGGAGAAGTTCCTACTGTGGCCGCTCTTCGTTGCGGGCAGCGAGTGCGTCAACGAGCTGCAGCAAAACATTGTGCGGAGCAAGTGCCGCGACATCATGGCCCGCTCGGGTTACATGAACAACCTCGCCGCCCTCGACGTGCTCGAGCGCCTCTGGGCTGGCGAATGGAAAGACAACGAGCCTCGGAGCCCTGCGGCGGTCAAGCTCGAGGCCATGCGCCGAGGCCCGTTCAACTGGACCAGGTGCATCGGCGGTCCCGGTGTCGAAGTGGAGTGGATCATGTTTTAAGAGAACCCCTTGTCCCGTTGAAAGCTGCCCTCATAGGGCGCAGGGGAAAAGGGGTGGAAGAGGGGATTCATATTGGACTCGGAGGCACGCGAGTCACGCGCAACAGCGGTCGGAGTGCGCAGTATTTTTTTATTTTTGTTTTTGCTCAGCGGCAAGCTGGGCTTGGTCACGACTGATGAGACGGATCTACGAGAACGGTCCTTCTGTAACTGTACAATAGCCACTACTACAAAACTGCATAGTCACGACATGGAGTAATATGGGACTGGGACGAAACGGTACGATGCCTTGGGTAGGGGACTGTCGCATGACGGACAACAATCTGGGAACGGCTGAAGGAGACTAGCTCCTGCGATACAGCATTATGAGAAGGCATGAATATCCGAAGAAAGAGGGGTACGGGGCAAAAAGAAACAGAAAATAATCCATATCATGATTTTGAGTCTCAAACGCCTTTCCTTCTCGTGATCAACTACCATATGCGTCGAACCCACAGCTCTCGTCTTCCTCCAACAGTGGGAGTTGGACCACACTTGGATGAGCCCCCTTGGGCCTCTTGCAACGGCGGTCAAAGAACGAGGCCGATAGAGATGGCGTGCTCTGCCGACCTCCTTCGCCGAAGATGGTACCTGCAGTTGCATACCGAGTACCGTCAGGCGCTGCAGGCGGCGGAGGCGGCGGAGCGCGAGGACGAGGACGGGATCCTCGCTCAGGGTCCAGCTGTGGTCGGAGATTCCCAATGGACTTTACCCTTTCAGCATGTCATTGTCTCGAGATGGGTGAGCAGGCGAAGCCGGGCAGGGGGTATGAATAAGGAGGCTTGGCAAAGGAGTGAGGGGTGCCGCGAGCAGTCGAGAACTCGGGTACGCCAGAATGAGGAACGGCGACAAGAGGCGTCGGTGGCTTTTTTTTGTTCTGCCTCCCGCTCTCGCCCCCCCAGTCCGTCCTGGGTCCCACCACCGAGGACGTCGTCGTCCAGTCGCAATCGCTCCAAGCGCCGTTTGGGGCGGGAGGCGCATGTGGGCGCGATCCATCTCACTATGTGCCTGAGTACCAGAGCAAGGATGATCACGTATCGTTTCGTACCTTGGCTTTTTCCGCGTAGAGCTCGGAGCCAAGCGAGGATATTTTCAGACGGTGGATGGTTGTACGAGATATCGGGTTCAGAACACAAGACCTTGCAACGGAGCGCCGAGAGGCAAGATAGACAGCAGCAGGTCCCCTCTGTCGAAGGACGTATCCCCCCGTATCCCCCTCGCAATCCTTGCGAACTCGGTTGTGCCAGACCGAGCCAAGCCAGAATGCTGGAATGCCGTCGGTCTTTGTAGTATCTGATATGCAACGCTAAGGCAGTCTGCTACCCATTTCATGTGCCTTTGATGAAGGGTCCAGGGGTGGGAAGAAAGGGCACCAATGCAGAGCCAGTATACAAGCTTGGTGAGGCGGTACTATTCGCATACTGCGGAGTAGCAGGCAAGCCATAGTGTTGAACGACGGATAGCAACAAGAGAGGCAGAGAGCAGGCGGACAAACAACAGCCTGCAGACCAGGGGGACCGGACGGGCCAAGGGCATCGGGGTAAAGCAGACTGGCTGGGCTTGGAGGAGAGACCAGGACCGGGAGGGCACACGGATTCTTGACATGGACAGGGCCGGTGTCAAGGCACCCGGGCAAGGATCAAGGGGTTCCTGCGGGCTGGGGAAGCAGCACTGGTCGTGAGAATCCACTCGAGCCAAAAAAGTTCCCATGTGGGGGTGATAAGGGACGTTCGGGCCAAGACCGACTAGCCGCCTTGCTGACTGGCTGGAATTCACGACAGAGGAGCGGGACTGGACGGGCGTTTGTGGTCTTCGATCTGGCGACGCAACGTCGAGCAGGGGGGGGGGAGGGGGGATCATGAGTCCCTCCCCCAGGGCACGACAGGGGCCGGGGCTGGATGACAGTGGGCCGGCAGGGCATGGCAAAGAGTGGAGAGAAGTCCGAAAGAAAGAGAGAGAGTGAGCCCGGTCTGGTCGCCGAACAAGGCTGGCTATAGGTAGTGTAGTGTAGCCAGGGGAGGGTAGGGCAGGCAGGCAGACCGACAGACGTCCATACAGCCACACATGGACAGCCCAGCCCCAGGCGAAAACCACCGAAAGGAAAAGAGTTGCAGGGGGGGAGGGGTTCGAGGCGGTGGCGATGGAGAGATCCCCGTTTACAAAGCTGACATGTGTGCCCTGCACCGAGGTACTATGGTAGAGTTCGGGCTCGCTGGAACAGATGACGGAGAAGAGAGCCAAAAGGCACCTTAATCCATATTGACTACACGGCCTGACCCCGTCAGCCCGAAGCAAGGCATAAAAAAGGACACAAGCTTGTTTCGCACCGACGTCTCCAGGGTATGTATTATTTCATAATTTGGGACCATGCCTCTCCGTCTGCTCTTGTCCTGAACAAGGGGCCCCGACAAGTTGTGCACACGACCATCCGAGAATACAAGAGAACACTAGAGGAAAGAATCGCCTACAGTCCGCAGACACGACACGGCGACGGCGGCCGCTGAAGGACCGGAGGAACACGGATAGCGCAGAGAGCCCATCGAGATAGCGATTAGGGTCCTAGGTTGACTCGATTGCTGGTGTCAGTCAGTCGTGCCCGTCATGGCAATATGACCAGACTGCGAGGTGACGGCGCGTGGGGGTCCACTGGTCCAATCGCCATCGACGGCCTCGTCTCTGTCGAGTTTCTGATCTTCTCGGATCAGCCTGATGGCCTGGTGGCGGTGACGGCCTTGGCACCTCATTTTCTCATGTTTGGTGGCGGACGGCTCGTTGGGTTGAGGTCATGATGCGTAAGCGCGTACGCGACCGTTGATTAACACTCCCTCTCTGAATTTCAAATCGAATGACGCTAGAGGGCATCGGCATCGATATCTGGATACTGACCGTGGCGGTCCCCGAGGTCGTTCTTCTTGTTGCCGTTTCCGTTAATGTGCCCTCGCTGTCTCGTGCCGAATTCCACCTTGGCCGACCCGATGCCATCTGCCCTCAAGGGCCTTCAACCGCGGTTCCTCGGACCAAGAAAAAGCACGCAAACGTAGGTCCACCATGGCAGTGTAAAATATCCAAAGGGGGGGCAATAACGAGAGGCAAGGTCGACGTCGGGTCCGTCGGTGTAAAGGCAATGCGAACCGAGGGGACCACGTTGGCTCGGCATGAGAAACGCGGCATAATGTCAACGAGCCCGTATACACCTTGTCCTGGTCTCGCCTACCAGTCCCCTCCCCGACTGACTTTTTTTTTTTGTTCCGTTCGTGCGAGGTTTAAACAACGTCCTCGCAGGGGCAAGGGACGACGGGACTCGGCCGAGCTTCTTGCAATCAAGCATCGTGATTCACGCGTGTATTTAATCATGTGCAATCTATCGTGGTCGAGTCTGCTCGAGTAATGAAGTCCGATGTCCACTCTATTTCGCCGAAACCTAATTTAACCTATTGATACGCTTTTTGCTCTCCTAACAGGGTATCCGATGCGTTTTATACCTTAAGCGCCGTGTCATGACTCTCTGACTCCCGAAGTTGCCTGCCGGGGGCCACCCGCGCCTATTTTTTTTCCCTGGCTGTCACGCCCAACCCCTATTTCGTTCTTCAGCCGCGCCACTTGAACCGGCTCTGCCTCAGCATGTCAAGCAGGCCCGTCGGCAGGACTCCCTTGTCGACGACCGTCAGGCTCCCGAACCTTGCAATCATGTCGTTGCCGTAGAGCGCGCAGACCCACCGCTCGTAGTCGCTGAGGCCGTACCAGCCTGCCGGCGTCGTCTTGAGGGCCGCCTCCAGCTCGCCCGTCAGCTGGACCGTCTTGGCGGTCGGCATCCGCCGCAGCTTGTCGAGCGCCCGGCCGAGCGCCGTGGACGTGCGTCTCCGGTGCCGGGTGAACTCCTCGAAGCTCATGAACGGCTCGTCCCGCAGGTCCTGGTAGACATCCGTGCGCCACATCGGATGGTGACGCAGCGCAGCGCCGGCGGAGTCGGAGTCGGCGCCGGCGTCGGGGTCCTCAAAGGCCGCCTTCAGGGACCGGTACTCGGCCTCCTCCTTGGCGAGGAACTCGTCGACGATCTTGTTGGGGTCCTCGACGACGCCGTCGCGGATCAGGTACAGGTGGACAAAGGGGTTCTCGAGGCCCAGCCCGCCGAGCGACACGGGGAAGTACAGGTAGCCGTCTGGGATGTCCGAGATGCCAAATCTGTCGCCAATCAGCCGCTTCAGGTGCGCGCCGGCCCCGCCGTCGCCAAAAAGCCGCTGCTGGATGCGGTGGAACGTCGCTAGCATGCTGTCCACGTGCGCGCGGGAGTAGCAATTGGCGAGCTGGGCGCAGTTGGTCCGGAAGAAGCGGGCTCCGTAGATGTTCCACGCCTGGATCCAGTCGAAGACGCTGCTGCACGCGTCCAGCTGCAGGCGGAGCTCGTCAATGTGCACGTCCACCTTGTTTTGGTCGAGGAGGAAACGCCCGGACGCGGGATCGAGCTTGAGGAACCCCCACACGACGTCCCCCTCGGGCAGGCCCTTGGGCGGCTGCTGGCCCGGCTTGCCCCCCTGGGCGGCGATCCTGACGCTGCCCGTCTTGTCCTCGTTGAACTCGAGGCCCGTGAGCTCCACGAACTCGGTCATCGTCTCCCACGCGCGGACGCAGGTCTCGAGGCCGCCCCAGAGCCACATGTCGTCGTGCAGCCGGTAGAGGCGGCCGCCGTTGGCCTGCTGGTTGACGGCGAAGTCCATGCAGAAGAGCATGGTCTCGGCGACCAAGTCCGCCAGGGGCGTGCTCAGGGCCGTGCCTCTCTTGCGGGTGTGGGCGGGCGCGTCCGGCGGGTCCTGGGCGAAGCGAAGGGGGCACTCGAGGATCCGTCGGAACAGGCCAATCCATTCGGCGTTGACGCCGAAGAACTCGAGGACGGCGAAGATGGACGAGTGCGGCACGCTGGGGCCGAACCACTTCAGGTCGGAGCGGATGACGGTGACGTCGTTCCCCAGCCTCGTTTCCATGATGATCTCGGACTGGATGAGGTGCAGGAGGTTCTGCACCACGGCCACGTGCGATTTCCGGGTGTCGTCCGCCTCCTGCTGGCCATCCGAACCGTAACCCCCTCTCTTCTCCGCCACGCACGCGGGCAGCTGGTCCAAAAAGACTTCCTTCTCGTAGTGTTGGGAAAGCCGCTTCGCCACCGACGCGGAACTTTCAACCGACGCCGTCGTCCCTGTGAAAAACTGTCGCCGGCGAACCTCCTCCTTGGTCATGCGCCTCGCAGCATCCCTGTCGACCCCAGGGGCTTTGACAAACGAGACGAGAACCTCGCGCATCCGGACGGCCCACTGCTTGCCAATGTGATGGACGAAGATGGCTTGCAAGAGGTCCTCGTCGGGGTAGAAGCGGTAGCGGCCGTTCAGTTGTCGTCGCTGCTCGACCACGGTCGGGCCATCCCACGCCCAGGTCTGGCGGGTCTGCATGCGCATGTTGAGCACGTCGGCGATTTCGCTCAGGACCACGTCGTTGCGGAGAAAGTCGTTGAGAGTCGTCCTCTTCTGGTCCGTGAGGATGTCGGTCCGTAATAGGCCCCGGATCGTGTTCTTTAGAGAATCCTCGTCAAAGTGCGTCTGGTCGTCCCAGCTCTTCTGCAATTTCTCGATGCGCTCCTTCAGCTCCCCAAACGCGCGGTCAATGTCCTTGGACGACGTGACGAAGAGCCGCTCCAGGTAGCTCTTGATGGCCCGGCTGTCCATCTCCTTGGCCTGGAACACGTACTGCTCCCAGGTCGCTCGCTGCCGGTGCATCTCCTCCCTGCCCACGGGCACGAAGCCCGCCTCGGAATCCTGGTCGGCGACCTTTCCGGCGGAAATCCATTCGTTCACAAGCTTGCCGTACAGCTCGGCGTAGCGGTACTTGGCGGACTGGACATCGAGCTCGTTCCGCATCGCATTCTCGTAGTCGTTGAGCAAGCTTTCCGAGATGCACGGGTCGTAGTCGGCCTGCTGCACGAATCGCTTAAGGTTGTCGACCGAAACCAGCGAGCTGTCGCCCAGGGAGTTCATGGCAGGGAGCTTCTCGGACCTGTCGACCAAGAGCTTTGCCCGCTTCCGGTGGTCCGTCTCGTACGCTGCATCGTCCAGGAGGGCTCGCTTCCCCGACTCGTACGAGGCCTTCTGCTTGTCCAGTTGGCTGAGCTTCACGCTTGTGATGGTGTGAAGCGTCTGCGACAAGATATCGGAGGACGCCATCTTTCGATATGGATTGACAAATAGAAACGAGGTTGCAATCCCAGATATGTAGGTTAGATGGGGGATGTTGCTGAAGGACTGATGAGTGAGGAGCCCGACGAAAGGTGAGCTGAGAAGACCGTTTCCCAGAGCGTATTTATGCGAATTGACCACGGCTATGAAATACGATGAGAATCGAGGCCATTCCTCATACTGGATGGTCGCTCACTCTGAGTCAGTCCGCAGACGCCATGTTTTGGCCTCTTTTGGGGCCATTGTCTGAACGGCGCATTTGGTTGCTGGCGGTTTGGGGATGAGCCATTGCCAAGAAGAGACAAGTGGAGACTAGAACTGAGGCCATTGAGGCCAATGAGGCCAATTGAGAGAGGCGGCCTCGACGGAACCTCTCATGAGAAACAACGTTCGTTTACAGGTCGAGAGAAACAATGATTCAATTCTACCTGATGGTTCTTTCTTTTTTTTGTTTTTGAATACATGTTTTCAGGTAGAGCAAGAGAGAATACGCGCACCAAAAAGAACGCTTTCCATACCTGGGCTGATCGGCATCGATGTCGACGGTCTCGCTCGCTGGTCGGCCTACCAGCGTGCTGCACCGGTTGAGTTATCCCGGATGTCAAAACATCATCCCCGGTTCATCTACGGTCGATGGCAGAAAGGTCGCAGAATCCGCATCAAACATCATGACATTTTCTCCTTTCCGTGGCGGCAGTGAGATGATGCTCAGACGGCCTCAATGTCGGGCCCGAGTGGAGGAGGTCGAGTTAAAGAATAGGACGCTTTACAAGACGACACCGACATCGGCATTGACGTGATTGCAAGGTTGTGCCGCTGGTGGGTAAAGATAAGAGAGGCGTACGCAATGCTTCGGCTATTACTTACCCAATAAACTCGTAGGCTGAGTGTCTAACACGGCTCGTTGAAGATTAGTCGGGGGTGTTTGGTATGCTAGGCCTATGTCGAAATCCGGCTTATCGCACTCTCGAGAGCCCTTTGGGGGACTATGGCCCTGGCCTTGGCCCTGGCCTTGGCCCAAAATGCCTGCCAGACATGCCATACAGTTGCCTATTACAGGCAGATGCCCGAGCGCACAGGTTGGGGGGCGCACGCCGAGCTTCGGGGGTTTTGGGACTCTTGGGACTCTGGGGAACCGCTGGGGCCTTCTGACTGGCCAGAGACGGGCCAGCAATTAGTCAGTAGAGAGGGCTCTCTGGTAGCGGCGCGATGACATCCTTTCCGGGAGCAAAATGAACCTGTCGTTACATAATGCAACTTTGACATCTCACCTTGCCAGATGCGTAGGGTATTCGGTAAGACGTCATCTCCGACCAATTGACCACTACCGCCAGAGAGTGAAAATACCACCTTAATACGGCACTGCAACGCGAGCCCCGTCCTCATCTCAGAGGTAAAAGGCAAGGAGGAAATTTGGGTGGAAGAGCCGCGCACCATGACGACGGACGAAGAGCAACCCCGGCGAGCTGCCGCCGCCGCCGAGCAAACCTCGGAGACGACGCCTCTGCTCAATGGCAGCAGCGGCAGCAACGGTACCATCGACGGGGCCCCCGCCGCCAACGACGAAGAGACGACCATCGTGGCCGAGACCGTCTCCGGCACCCGCCTGGCTCTCATCTTGGGCACCTCGTACTTTGGCGTCTTCCTTGGCGCCATCGACAGCACCATCATCGCCACGCTCTCGGGCCCCATCTCGAGCGAGTTCAAGTCGTTGAGCCTCCTCAGCTGGCTCGCCACGGCCTACCTCATCTCCAATGCCGCGTGCCAGCCCATCTCCGGCCGGCTGACCGACATCTTCGGCCGCGGGCCGGGCCTCATCTTCAGCAACATCTTCTTCGCCGCCGGCAACCTCATCTGCGGCCTCGCCAAGACGCAGTCCGTCATGATCTTCGGCCGCGTCGTGGCGGGCATCGGCGGCGGCGGACTCATGTCCATCTCCACTTTCCTCGCCTCCGACCTCATCCCCCTGCGGCAGAGAGGCATCTACCAGGGCATTGGAAACATCGCCTACGGTTCGGGCGCCATGCTCGGAGGCGTCTTCGGCGGCCTCATCAACGACAACACCGCCATGGGCTGGAGGCTCGCTTTCCTCGTGCAAGTGCCGCCCGTCCTGATCTCGGCCGTCCTCGTCGCCGTGCTCGTCAAGGTGCCCCCCAAAGCCTCGGACAAGTCCTACCTGGCGCGCATCGACTTCTTTGGCGTCTTCCTAACCATCTCCTTCCTCGTGCTCCTGCTGCTCGGTCTCAACGCCGGAGGAAACCTGGTGCCGTGGGTGCACCCCCTCCCGCTCACGACCATCCCCCTCTCCGTGGCGGCCTTTGTCGGCTTCATCGTGTGGGAGAGCAGGGTCAAGCAGCCCATCATCCCCGTTCGCTTGCTCTACAACCGCACCATCCTCGCCGCGTGCCTGACCAACCTCTTGTGCACCATGGTCATGATGATGGCCATGTTCTACGTGCCGCTGTACCTCCAGGTCAGCGGGCTCTCGGCGACCCAGGCCGGCCTCCGCATCCTGACGTCCCCCGTGGGAGTGTCCATCATGTCCATCGGTGCCGGCTACATCATGAAGCGGACAGGGAAGTACGTCATCCCGGGCATCTGCGCCCTCGTCATCTTCAACACCGGCATCATCATTCTCACGCAGTACAACGAGAGCACGCCCGCTTGGGTCAACTACATTGTCTTCTTCCTCGTGGGCGGAGGCTACGGAGCCATGTTAACCATCACGCTGCTCGGCTGCATCGCCGCCGTCGACCACTCTCAGCAGGCAGTCATAACATCGGCAACATGTGAGTGGACCAACCCTGAGCAACAATGATCCAATGCAAAATACTGACAACCATGCAGACTTGGCCCGGAGTCTCGGAGGGACCATCGGCATCACCATCGGCTCCGCCGTCTACCAGAACGTGTTGCGGAACAGACTCTGGGACCGCTTCGGAGACTATCCCAACGCAGCCGAAATCATCCGCCGCATCAGAGACGACCTCGACGAGCTGAAGCATCTGCCCGTCGGGTGGAAGCCCGGCGTCGTAGCCTCCTTCATGGAGGCCTTCGGCAGCGTATGGTACACCATGCTCGGCCTTTCGGTTCTCGCCCTCGTGTTCATCTCATTGATGAGGCAGCATGTTCTTCACTCAACGCTGGAGAGACGATGAGCAAGCGGCCTAGCTCGTCACGCACTCGCCAGAGTGTCGCCATCCAGGTGGTATCCAGCTCAACGGGCCGACCGAAGCTGGTCTTTCCTCCATCGCAATGGGCATGGCGCGCCATGGCCGAGAGCAGTCTCAGACACACCGAGCCAGCATGTGGTCTGTTTTACTATGTGTTGTGCATGGGTGTCTACAATGAATGCACTTATCTAGCATACCAGATCGCGCACAATTGTACAAACACATACTGTAAAGCACAAGAACAACGATAAACAGGTAGACAAACATCTAGACAAATCACCCCAAGCTGTGGCGAAGAGGCAGAGGGATGCACCCAAAGCCCAGGGACAGCCTACAGCTGCCGAGAGCAACCAGCACACGGATATCAGTCGCATTCTCGATGGTGTTCGTGGAAAGTAACGGAAGCACGTCCAGACGGTAGACGGTGGTATGCGAATTGGGTCCGCAGCGTATGTTAAGCCCTCCGCCGCCGTCGAGGCGACCTCAAAATATCTTAATTGGAATAGAATTTCATCCTTGTCCATTTATCCCGCTCGTACAACTGTACTATGAACAAATATGGAATTTCATGCATACGCCAAGGTATTGTCGTCCCGAATCTTCCCCGTAGCCTTGATGGAGGCTTCGTTGCCCGCTACGCAGGGACCTCGGACAAAGATCTGTCACAGGAACGTTAGCAGTCAACCCACCTCGCTAGTTAGCAACAAACTCACCTCGCCTTGATACGACTGGTCGGCATTCTTGTGCTCCTCCGTATCTCTCAACAGGATCTCGGTGCTTGTCACGGGCGGGCCAAAGTGAGATTGTTTGTCATCGTGAACTCTGTAGTCGTAGTAACCAGTCTGAGCGACGGCACCTGCCACCTTGGGAGCAGCCAGAGCGTAGATGACTCTAGCACCGGTGAAGACGCGAATGTCAGAGAGCATGCGGGACGACAGCGGGGGCGATCCAGTCCCAACCCTCTCCGCCACGTAGATGAGGCGCAGTTTGCCGGGAGTGGTACCAATCGCGGGTCGGGATGCGCTGTTGAATCGAGCAGCAAAAGAGGCAACTGGCATGACGCCACTTTCCGTGAGACTGCGGGACTGTGCCCAGTGAGCAACCTTGGCCAGGCCAGAGGACAGGCGGCTGGTCGACTCCTGGTGCATCTTCAACAGGGTCTCAGGGGTCAACACCAGCACCGTAGGGGCAACTCCCTGGGTGGCAAGGACCAGATCGGTAGACTTTCCAGCAACCGAGTTGAAGGCGACAGACGAGTTGGAGTACAGAGCCGCCAACGTCAGAGTGAGAGTGTGGATGTTTGTCAGAGAGTCGGCCGACAAGAAGAGATCAGAGGGATTGAGACGTTGGGTCGACGGGATCGCGGCGAGCTGAGCAGCAACTCCAGACACCAGGTTGGCCTGCGTAAAGCGCACCATCTCCTCCATGGTTCCGGGCTTTGACTGCCAGAAGCTGATGATATCCTTCGGTTCCACCTCCTTGTTGACAGGGGGCAGCTCTCTCGCGGCATCGGCAGGAGCCTCGCGAAGAATGTCCTGCCAAGTTGCGACGTTAACGCTGCCGCCCATGCCTTGGGGAACCTCGTTCCAGTCCATGTGCGCGCTCCCCTCGTCCACAACCCATATCACTTGACGGAGGGCGGGGTACGCCTTGACAACCGGGTCAAAGGGGAATGCGCCAGGAGCAGTGACGACGGTATCGGCGGCAGAACGACGCAGCATTGTGATGAGCTCCTCGTCCGAGACATCAAAGGGAATCAGGATGGCCGTGAGGTTGGGGTAGAAACTGCAGGCGAACAGCGTCACCAGTAGCTCGATGGAGTTGGGCAAGTAGACGGCGACGCGAATGCCGCCTTGCTCATGAATGTGCTGGCCGATGAGGTTGATCTGGCGGGTGACGTCGTCTACACAGCGTCGCGGCGTTAGAGAGCGAGAGGCTGAAGACACAACAGCGCGTGGACTTACCAAGCGGGTGCTCGACGACGTTCTCGGAGCCCAGGACGGTCAACAACCGGCCCTTGCCTGCCGAAAGCTTGCCCTCCTCCTCGGAGGCACCCGTCGCCGCTCTTCTCCAGATATCCCGAAGGTCTCCATCGCGTCCTCTCGACCACTTGGAAGCGCCGGCATCCTTGACGTTAAGCCCGGTGTTCAAAGGCATTCCGTGAGGGGCAGAATGGGATCGGTAGATGGGGGATTCTCCTTCTTGTCGGACGGGCGAGCCTTGGGCCTGGCGCGCAAGAAGCATAGGATGGGTATCGGGGTCCTGGCTAGAAACGACTCGGTAGGTAACAATAGCAACGAGGAGCGTGATGAGGGCGGTGGTGTATGCGTTCCATTGTCCGAATAGGCCCGAAACGCTCTCGTCCATCTGGAGCATGAGGTTGTCGAAGAAGCCCATGTTGGGCGGCGACGCGAGGGTCCGAATAAGACGAGTCGGTTCAAGTCCCGGGGATCGATTAGGGCAGGTGGTTGCAGCGGTGGGAGCAGGTCAACGAAAGGCTTTACGTGGCCGCATGGAAAGCTTGGAGGGTTTAGAGAGAAGAAAGAGGAAAAAGCACGAGGCAGTGCCACGGAGCTCGAGCTCGGAGGTTTCGTGGTGCTGAGGTGGGTTGCGCTGGCAGTCAACGGCGGGGATTCTGACGTCCCCCCGGCTCCCGCTGTAGACTTACGAGAGTGAGCTGAGGGACCTTACTCGTACCTGTGCCTAGCGTTCTCCAACAGCCGGATGGCTAACATTGCGAGACTCCGGCTGCTAACTGCGGAACTTAGTCAGCTCGCAGACCCTTAAGGTTTAGAAACTCTGACCGTTGTACCTATTAAGGGCCAGGGCGCTCACTTGTAGATGTCTGTATTCACAGTCCTGTACCTGGTGGAAGCCCGCTGTGCAAGGTACCTTGAGGTACTCCCCACCTCCTCTCGCTGCCGCGGTTGTCGAGTGCCTCGAAACTAGTAATGTAGGTAGTTGGAAGTACGTACCTCTCAGCTATGTAAGGCAAGCCACCCCGCCAGGCAGGTGCAGGCTGAAGGTCTCCACTCGCAGCAGACCGCTTCCTGCCGGTTGCTGTGGCCCTTGTGGCTGAAGCATTGTTTTTCTGCCAATGCCTTTGCCAGAGGCTTCGGCCATCATTTGTCTACCGCATCCATCACCATCGACAACTCGACTTGAAGCGGCGCATTGAAGCACGCCAGCGCTCGGCGACCGCGCAGCGTCTAAACGACACAGTACTAACATAGAACAGGTTTGCAAAATCATTCGGGACTAGTGAGCTATTTCCTTCATTTGGAAAATGCAATGTAAATCTGCAGTTGGACTAATGTTGCACGCAACAGGCCTTGACCCTGATCGTGACTACCGTCTCCCGACTTCGACTTCCCACCCTCACCGTTAGCCTCACGCCAGACACACAGGACAACATGTCTTCGTCGGGGAGCCGAGCGGTTGTCAGCACTCCCGTCAGATCGACGCCACAAAAGTCCACTCCCGTTGTCGACAGCCCAGGCACTTGGAGACACCCGCGCCTCAACGAGATCACAAGACGGCGCAACGCAACTACCTTCTCCGAGAAGAATGTAAGAAGGATCGCGTTAAACATTGGCTTCCTTCTCAGCCTCTGGCTTTCTCAGGTCCTTACCCGTTCCTACATTCCCGCACAATGGTACGTCCTCCCTCTCTCAAGCCGACTCCCGCGGGCCCTAACCATTGCAAAAGGTTCAGCGCTTCGCTACGATCGTATCTGGGCTGGGCCTATTACTTGGTCCAACTCGTTCCACTCGCCAATATTGGAATGGCCACGCTGCCGCTATTCCGATCCGAAGACGACCTGTCAGATATTCCTCTGACCCCTGCGCAGCGCAAGCTTCTGGGTCTGCCGCCCAGCTCTGCAGCAGCCACTCCTGATGCTGTCTACAGCACGCCACCACGATACTCGCGTACTCCGTCTTTGGCGGGCTCACCCGCAAGTAACAGAAGCTTCTCCGGGTCTCCGCTGTCCGGCAGAGGCAGCCCGGCTCTCGGGAGCTCCTTGAACGGACAGTCTTATTCTCCCTCCCCACTCAACAGCCCGTCCAAGTTTTCGGCAAGCCTCAACAGCAACAGGAGGTCGTCTTTTGGCTCTTCGACAAACCTGGGGGCGAGCACGAGCTCTTCCCTCTTCCCTGACCCAGGCACGCCAAGCCCTTCGGCTGGAAAGCGTACCAGTGTCGGCTTGAACAACAAGTGGCTTTACGAGAGGGGCAGGAGATCGTCGGGCGGCAGCTGGATGCACTGAGGATTTCTAACGGCTGTTTTGTTTTTCGGATGGGGTAGGGGGGACATTGCCAGCGCCGTCATATCATGAGATTCTTTTTTGCGGTGGCCTAGGATGTAGATGGCCGCATCCGCGAATAGAATGATTTTTGAGGCACCAAAACGTGCCATCTTCTATTGTTGAAAGCCTCGGACCGAGAGCCGCGGCAGACCCAGGATTTGTATATACTTGACTGGCGTACAATACAAATGTACATTGAAGGGACTGAAGTACAAGGGTCCTGTCTCATAGATGCAGCTCAGTGTCATTGCGTGCTGTAGCGCCAACATCATCCACACGCCAAACTCATGAAGAAGCAGCTATGTCCTGTTCAAGCCCCAAGTCCCCAGGTGTTTCCTGCGCGAGGTTTGTAATCAACGTGAGGCGCAAGACCGCCGAATTGTGAGGTAGGCCGCTTATTCGGCCGGTTGTGCCCATGAGCTCTTCAGAAGCTACCCGTTCTGAGGTACCGTGAGAGCTGCAGGTACGTACCTCGGCATGAAGGCCCTTCACACAGAATGGGGAACAGATGGGAACGTGGACTTTTGGAATTCGGAGAACTCCCGCCCCCGCTTTTCCCTCTTCATAGGTTGGACAGCCACCAGTTGCCGACCCGCTGTTCCGCCATTACGTAGCACCCGGGCACCTTTGGTCTGGAACCTTTAGACCACCGTCCTCCCGAGCTTCCTCTCCCGTCAGATCGTTTCGACAGATATGATCGCTCTGTGACAACATGGGCGCCAGCGATTCGAAGCTTGTCTTCAAGAAAGGCATATTTCGGCTTTCTGAAGAACGACACATCCCTGCCGATGACCCCTACTGGACTTCTGTAAGCTGGCCTCTTTGTGGCTCGCCCTTATCCTCGATTACCGGACACTGACCTGGCTATGTGTACAGTTCTGGGAACTTCCCGAATCGTCAGAGGATATCTTCAGCCTCTTCGCCCCCGCCGACATTCGTCGTACGAGAGACAAAGCCCTCGAGAACCTAGAAACCCTGATACTCGCATTAACATCTCGGCTGTTTATCTTGCGCCACCACCCATCCTTTCCCGATCCCGAATTCGCTCCCGAACGAGATGCTCTCAACTGCATCCGCGTCCTAACACGCATCCTGCCCTTCGTCTACGAGGCGGACAACCTTCAATCATGGGAGGAAACTTTCTTCTGGGGTGCGCGAAGGAAGAGGACGAGACAATCGGCTATCGCCAACGAGGTGCTATTTGATGGGGCCCAGGATGGCCAGCGGCCGCCCAAGAACGTTACCGAAGACTTCGAAGATGCCAAACCCCTCGCCGAGGAGCTTATCGACACCTTGGTCGATCTGCTGTTCTTTTCCGACCTCACTCTGCCCAGGCAGCCCCCTGGACGGCCGAAAGTCACCTATGCCATTTGGCAGAGCGGTGTTGGATGCAACACATCAGTGGCTACGACAAAGGAATACGAGAGCAATCGAAGCGAGATACTCCGTCTGCTGCTGACCATGACGAGTCAAAGCATGTATATGTCGCCGAACACGCTTCCGCAAAAGGGAGTTCGAGCCCTGACGCACATCTGCACATGTCCCGACAAACAGGTTGTGTTGTCGGTTTTGTGCTCGTTGCTGAATACTGTATGTGGACTACCGTCTTTTCGCCAACTCCCCAGTGCACTGTTGCCTCTCAGTTCCGAGTATGATACTGACAACAGTAGACCCTGAAGTACAACCCTGCCACTTGGCGTGTACCGTACAATACCTTGGTTTTCAAGGACGAGAAACAGATTCTAGTAACATACACTCTACAGCTTCTGCTGGTATTTCTCCTATACCCAATTCCCGAGCAGAACGGCACCACTTCGAAGAACTACTACCGTCACTTCCTCGGGAGACTACATCGGCCCCAGGACTTCCAGTTCATTGTTGACGGCATGACGCGGATCCTCAACCAGCCGCTGCAGGAAAAGAGCTCGTATATCCCTAGTGGACAGACAACATCAAAGTTTGCTCCCGAAATCATTATGCTATTTTGGGAGATCACCCAATGCAACAAGAGGTTTAGGTCTTTCATTATCGACACTGAGCGGGTCCACGACTTCCTCGTCCTCACTCTGTTCTACGCCTTGGAGTACAAGAATGATGTATCCAAGCAAGGTGTCGTGAGAATGTGTGCCTTCTTACTTCAGACGCTGAGCGTCGAAGCGAACTTTGGCGCCAACCTGAACCGGGTTTTTGAAGGGCAAGACAGTCTGCCTATGACTATCAGGATACCTGGCTTCAGTGGAACATATGCCGATTTCCTGATTCATGTAAGGAAGCCCAGAGAATTGCACATAAGATCCAGCTGACACCGAACAGTCCATCTACAGTCTCATCACCACAAGCCAAGGTAGGCTCAACGCCATTTACCCGGCTCTTCTGGCCGTGATCAACAACATTGCGCCCTACCTTGAAGGCCTGAGCTCTGCATCTGCGTTGAAGCTCATGCAATTGTTCACGTCCATGTCTTCACCCTCTTTTCTACTCGCCAATGATAGCAACCACGACTTGCTTAGGTCATTGTTGGAGTCGATCAACTCCATTGTTGAACACCAATACCAAAGTAAGAACCAAACCGCCTACACTCCACCCCCTTTGACCGAACGAAACGAACGGTATGCTGACGTTATTACAGGAAACCCAGAATTGATATATGCGATTCTGCGCAATAAAAAACGCATCGAAGCGTTACGGACATTTACACTTGAGAGCGGCCAGGAGGAGATTGAAAGACGAAACCGTCGCCGCAAGGAATCCGCTGCCCATGGCGATGGGCTCGAACCCAGTTCGGTGAGAAGCTCGGTTGAGAGCATCCGCAGTCCAACGACATCACACCCTCGGCCGCCTACGTTGAGTGATGTCCCGGAGGAAGATGGCACTTTTGCCATTGGGGACGACGAGGACGATAGCGACGATGACGATCACCGTCCAACCCCAGCGCAATCAACGACGAGTGAGAATCCGTCCATTGCGTCGTCGCAAGCATCAGTTGTAGAGGATGCGGTACCAACACAGCTGCGAGGCATGTCGGAGAAGGCCAGAGGCAAGATGCCTGTTGGCATGAGCAACTTCTCCAGGCAGAACAGTACCACGAGCCTGGGCGGATACTCCACTAGTGGGCAGTCTCAGTCCGGCGCCTTTGAGCCAACGGCTCATTGGATCGAAAGCTGGCTTCCAGAGCTTCCTCTTCACACCATTCTCACTGTAATTCAGCAAGTGTCGGCTCTCTTGCCCAGGCAAGCACTCGCTGGGGAGTTCGCAACCCGAGAGACACTTATGAAGATTCAAGAGATTAAACTTGTGGGTATAGACCCGACGCCGCCACGGGTGCACTCCTTCGAGTGGTCACAGTTGTCTCTAGGCTGGTATGAGTCTCTCCTGTGGGGCTTTGTGTTCACCAGCGAACTCCAGATTTCCAAGGGTACGGTCGGGATTTGGAACGGTACGGCGATCAAGTTGTTCCGCGTCCAGGAAACTGCACCGCAGGGGCCAAGCTTGGCATCACCGAGAGGAGCCGTTGACGCTGTGGGAAGCAACATCGTGTCTCGAATCGGTGCGATGAACTTGCGTGGAGGTCCAGGAGGTGCGCCTCCAGCTGTACCTCAGCGCCCTGGATGAAGCAGCGGTGGGTCTGACCAGAAGTATGCCAGATTCTGTTCCGTCCTTGTCTGATGGTGTCCGTTGTGAGGTTACACCAGAGAGACGGACGGACGAGAAGATTACTCAACAACAGGTAACGATTGCACGCGAGAAGCAGGGATGCTGAAGACGGCTGGGAAGGCATTGCCGAAACAGCTGGGGGCATTCTAGAGAATTACGGGTATGGGCAGAGAAGCAGGAAGTCACTGACATTTTGGGGATGAGTCGGCTTCGACCATGAATGAGAAGGGCGGCGTTCGATTGGGAACCATGTACAGACTACAGGGCTGGCGTCGATCAGCTGTGGCAAGGGGCATTGATCAAGCCTTGGTAGGCAGTAGGGAGTCATAATCAAGTCAATAGATGGTGTTTCTACTCAGACGAGACCAGGAGAGCACAGCAGACAGCAAGCGAAGATGCTCACGTACCTTGGACTAAGTAGCCAAGCTGCCAACCGATGGTCAATTCAAAAGGTGTGGCTTGACGTGGCGAGTGCACCATCACAGCCAGCTAGCAAGGGGTAGAACGCAACCAGAGCCAATGATTGTCTTGTCTTGGGCGCTTCTCCCACAATCGCGTCCAAGACTGGCCATGGATGCGACTCTGTGCCTGACACTTCCAGCAAAAAGCGGTGATCATTTCCGAACTCGCCGGGATATTCGTACGCACCGCCACAGCTCGCTCGACGTGTAACCGGCCTAGACCGCTCCTCCTTTCCGTCGTGGGCCATTCAGAAGCCATCGTCGCAGGCAGGGGGGCAAGCCACAATGCCACACCACACCGTTTACTTTGCGCCAAACGGGCACGACATGGGAGCGGCCAGTACGCAAGACGGTGGACGGGGCATTTATGGATTCCCCGGGCGATAGCGACGAGACGACGCAGGACGTTGTATCTGGGGTGAGGTTGTACTTAATAGTTTGGTTCGCTTAGCTGTGGTGATTTGCTTTCCCTGTCGTGTTTTTGCCGTTCTCCATCATTTCCATGCTCCGGAAACTCCATTTTCAAAATCGCGTTTGTTTACTTGCGGTACTGCCGCTGAGTATTGCGTGAGAAACTCCTTCAGATCGTTGTTGGCTGTCGATCGTGTGTGCATTATTAGCGACCATGGCCAAACCTTTAGAGTCCAGCGCTATTCTTTCGGGAGATGAGATTAAGCCTTACCGCATCCACGTGAGCGCCCTCGGAGAAACGAGAGGTGAGATCGTTAGCTAACACAACAGGTTAAAGGTCTCTAGGAAGTATCTCGATCTCACGAAACAGAAGTTGGAGCTCACAAGACTGCCGCATGAGACGTCAGAGCCCAAGTCCCGGGATTGGTGGGAACCAAAGACGCAGATTGAACCGCTCATCGATTTCTGGTGAGTCAAGCGGTGGTGATGTTGATCCGAGGAGCGTGTCGCTGATCCGCGGCGCATCTAGGCTTGAAAGGTATGACTGGCGAGAGCAAGAGGCTGCTTTCAACGATCAACTACCTCAGTTCCGCACAGCCGTGACCGTGCCGGGGTCAGACGCTTCTGTCCGGCTTCACCTTGTCCATGTCAGATCGCCTCACGCCCATGCCATCCCGCTTCTCTTGACCCCTCCTTTCCCCTTTTCAAACCTCTCACTCGGACACCTCATCCGGCCGCTCACGGAGCCCGAGGACCCGAAAGAGCAACAGCCCTTTCACGTGGTGATTCCCTCTCTGCCCGGCCTCGGCTTCAGCGATGCGCTGCCCAGCAACACTTCCGTCATCTCGGCGACGGCGGAGATTCTCAACATCGTCATGTCGCGGCTCTCGTACACGTACTACCTGGTCTCCAACACGTCGTCCGCGTCTTCGAGCCCGGCCGGAATCGACTGGAAACTCACAAACCACTTGGCGATCCACTACCCTGGCAGTTGTCTAGGTGCTCACTTCATCAACCCATCGCTGACGGCGCCGACCTTGAAGGAGGCGCCTCTCGAGTGGGTGAAGTGGACCATTGCCAAGCTCTTCCGTGCACCGATCCTCGGCTACCAAAGCGAAGACGTTCGATCCCTGGGCCAGGCGGAGCTCACTCCGAAGCAATCTGCAAATCTCTCATTACCCGGCCCTGCGTCCATCATCGAGCCAAACACGCCGTCCTACGCCCTGTGCGATTCCCCCGTGGGATTGCTCGCCCTCGTCCTCAAAGTCATCCGTGTCCTTGGCGTCAAGAAGGAGTTCTCTCAGGCCGAGATCATCACCTTCACCCAAACCGCGTGGCTGCCCGGACCAGAAGCCGCGATGCGACTCTGGGCGCATTGCCTGACACACCAGGAGAAGCCTGTGTCGAAACCGGCAAAGAAGCCAAACGTGGCGATTACCGTATTCTCGGCGGACGTCAGAAACGTGCAGAACGCCGACATCGAAGCCCAAAACACGCTGCCTCACGCAGCACCAATCTCTCATGTGTGCCCTGCGTGGGCCAACGTCTCGTACAACGCGGTACACGTGCGCCGCGTACAAGGTAGCCCGGGACTGGTTGCCTGGGACCACCCCGAGCTCGTCGGCGAGGGAGTCAGGGGCCTGGCGAGGAGGCTCCTCTCCCTCGACGACAGACTGAAGAGCCCCGAGCGGCCGAGCACGGCGCCGCTGCAAGGGGTCGTCGTCCCGCCGAGCTCCACGCCAAGCGCCGATCCAGGGCTGCATCCGCAGTCTCCGCGGACGATGCCTTCCACCCCGCAGGGCGAGGCGACTTGGCGGCTCGAGAGGATCCGCGAGACCTCGGAGACTCCGAAGAAGAGCCAGCAAGAAGAGCAAGGCGGGCGCGCGCCCGATCCCGACTTTGAGGGAGCGAGCCCGGATACCATTGTGGTTACGCCCCCGCTGAACGAGGGCTTGCGGTAGTCCGTCACGGCGGCTAGCGTAGTTTTTTTTCTTTTGTGTCATGATACCAAGGATCCGTTTCGACACTCTGAGGATGATATACATGAGGATATGGTAGGCATGGATGGGAATTTTGTAGGAAGCGAAGCGGCTAGTGTTATTCCTATGTACTACATATTATGCAAAAACTTCCCACTCTTGGACGTCATTGTCCTAGTTTCTACATGATGAGTTGTCAGACCGTGTCAATGTCTCATGTGCGCGACGTTAAATAGCAGAGGTAAGTTGCTTGGACGTTGTGAAGCATTGCAGCCTTGGCGGCGCCATTCGCAGATTATAGTTGGGAATGACAAGCCTGCAACTTCACTAGGCAACTGAGAGTACACAATTGACTTTTACCGTGTTTTAAACCAGACCAAGTCAAGCTGGAAGCAATTTGTACTCAAGAGAGCCTGCCGAAACAAACCTGTTTCGGTGTTGGACACAGTGCTTAACGAGAAAGCATTGGTATTATCGACGAGATATCCTCTTAGGCTATGCATTCCGGAACCATCCAAACCTCATTATAACCCTAACGCCCGAAGCCTGTCCTCATTCACTCTTCATCACTGCTATCCATGACGAACCCTCCCCTCGTGCGCTGCCGTGATCGTGCTGCGGGCACCGGGGCGTCATCCTCGTCATTTTCCGAGTCGGCGTTCGTCTCCTTTGGCCCTTCGACCCCTTTTTCGAGAGAGGGCTCTTCAGGAGACAGCCGCCTCCGTTTTCTCGTACCCTTTTCCTGCGAGGAAGACGGGCTCGATGTCAAAGGCGTTCGGTTGTCGCCATCCTGCTCAACCTCGCTCCCGGCATCCATGTCCACATCAGCGCTCCCCTGGGTCGACTGGGTGGCCTTCGTCAAGTCAAGCAGATCATCGTCATTGTCGTCGAGCGCAACCGCAGATAGTCTCTTGGTAGGCTCCGACAGCGTCACCTTCTCCACGACGCGAGCCATGCGCAAGCGCTGAGCCTCCTCCCGAAGGAAGAACTCGCGGTCATACTCCTCATCCGTGTCGTCATCACTGGCATGAACGTATGCCTGGCTCTTGATTTTCCTCGCCTTTTCTCTCTCGCGTTCTCTACGCTTCTTGGCTCTTTCTTCCAAGTCGGAATCGTTCGGCTCCTCTTCTTCTTCGCTCCCCTTTCTGCGACGCCTGCGCTTTGTCTTTTTGGATGCAGGCTCGTCAATGGCTTTGTGGACGGTAGGTCCCAAGGGGTCAAAGAGGAAGCCATCGTCAACGTCGCCATCCTCGTCGTCATCATACTCGGCTCGCTTTCGGGCAACTTTCTTGCGCCGGAGCTGATCGTCAGCAGCACGACCATCCTCGAAAACGGGCGGGTCGAATTCGGCTTTGTTGATGAAGTCCAGGCTCTCATGCAGGTCCTCTGCAGTCACTCGTGCAGGTAGAATCCACAAGGACTGCGAGGTCTCCTCAATAGTTGGAGCAAGACGTTCGAAACCCACGAGCTTCATGAGGAGGCGTAGGTGGGAGTTCTTGAACACGGCGGTTCTACGAGTATCACTGTCTGGTCGTACAGCTTGGCAAGATTAGCTTGTTGAACCGATACGATAGGTACAAATGTGAACTTACTGAATGGAGGGGGAAGGTTAGCCGTCTCGTCAGCTGGTGCATCTTCGGCAGTTGTCTCGGTGCGCTCCACAGACGGTATAACTTCGTTTGCTGCTGCCCAAGCCCGCCGCTCGCTCTCAACAGACTCGAGCATGGACTTGACCCAAGCTATGTGATCCGCCTGATTCTTGTCAAGGAGTGCTCCGACGACAATAGCGATTTGTCGATCGCGCTCTTCGGTATGCTTGAACTCAAGTTCTGCCGCGGGCCGGGCATGTGATGTCGAAATAGTCTGTTTCTCGTAGCCGTACTCCAAGTAGAAGGCGGTGTTGTTCATCTTGGAGAACAGCAACTCGATTACGAGCTCGGGTCGTTGCTCAATCTTGCGCATGCATTTCCTGAGGATTTGCTTGGAGAGTTCTTCCCACTCCTTGTACATCGTTGAGCTCTTGTCCAGAGGCTCCGGCCCCTTGATCATGTTGTAAAAGAGGTGCACGATGTCAACCCGGAATAGCATCACACTCATTTCCTGCTTAAAAGCAACACGGTAGAAGTAACGGTGAGCGCGTTTAAGCTGAGAGTCGTCAAGATCCCGGTAGAACTTGGTAAAGGCGACAAAGGTGTCGACAACTCCCTGGGGCGTGAAGCGTGATGTAAACCGGTGGAAGTCGAACTTGCGCTCCTTGGAAACCCTCTCGGCGTTGGCCTCGTCGTTTGCAGAATCATCGTTTTCTTCGTCGAGGGTATCTACACCCGCGGTGTCTTGAGCAGCCTTTTTCTTCCGTCGAGTCCGCTTGCGAGATCGGACTTGCATGTCGACGTTTTGTTTCGAATACGCTTCCAGGATCCGCAGGAAGTGGTGCGTCAGCTCCGTGGCGCTGTCGAGATATTCGAAGCCCTGCTCTTTGTATTGCCTGACGACGTTGGCGATCAAATCGTGTGTAGAATCTTCGTAGAAAAGACGGCTCAAGGTGTTTTCCGCAATCTCCTCGTCGTCCTCGTTACCGGACTCCGTCATCTCTTGAACAGTGAGCAAAATCTGAGTAAAGCAACGCATTGCAGCCGTCAAGGTGGGCCAGTCCTTTTGTTCCCAAGAATCGTGCATCGTCTTCGTGAGAGTGACAAACATTGGCTGGTTCAAAACGCCAGCCACGAGGTTGAAGCTGCTGACCTCCTCCGCTGTGCCAGGCTTCTTGGACTCTCGTCTATACTTTCTACGAATTCGTTCTGCTTCCAAGAACCAGGCGACGAGGTACATGAACTGTCTCCGATGGTAAGACAGGACGTGCGACGCTTCTCGATCCAGAGATTTGCGGACATGCTCGAACAGAGGGTTGAAGCCCGCATCGAGAAAGTCTTCGACAAAAGTTCGGAGCTGATCATTGGCTCTTGCGTTGAGCTTAACTGGAGCGCCAAGGTCCTTGGATTCCAGTTCCTCCTTCCTCGCCCTGCGTGGTGGCTTGAAGGTCTTGGATTCGTCGAGCTTTTTCTGTCGTGTGGCACTGTCTGCGAGCGCATCCTGGCCGGTGATGGTCGACACCTTTCCATCGTCACGCTGCATCCACACCATGGTACCAAATCGGTTATGGCGCGTTGGGCCCTTGCGGTTGTACGCATTACGCATCGCAGTCTCTTTGCTCATCATGGATGATAGCTCTTGGGCCTTTGTCTTGTTCAACTGCCGTTCATCCATGAAAAGCTTCTTGATGTCGACCTGCTTAACGAGGTGGTATATTACTTCCATGACAAGCACGTCTTCGGTGCGGAAGTCTTCACCCATATTCGATGCGATCATCAGCAACACCGCAAAGATGTCCTGGAAAGAGAATGCGTCGATCGTCGTGGAGCGGGATATCTGCGTCTCGTCGCCGTCGTATTGCACACCCGGGGGAGGGGTGATCATGGCTATGTTGCGAAGGAAAAAGAGCACGAGCTTGATGATGCCTTGGTCACGAGGACTTCGGTCGCCAATCGGCATGGCCATCGATGGCAAGGCGGCCCGAACCGCCGTGTTGAGAATCTGAGCACCGTCAAAGTTGATGATGGCCCGCTTGTAGCCCACTTGCGCAAGCTCGAGAACAGGTATGTGGCGGTGATGGTTGACCGTCATTCGCTCGGCGTCTCGCTCCATGGGCCAAGTAAGAGGCACCATAATCTCGAAACACGCGAGGGCGACGCGAGCCTTGAACTTGTTGTTTGTATCGTTTTCGGGCCAGCTGGCGAGGATCTGGAGGAGGTCGCCTTCGACCAGGTTGGCGTCCGAGATGCATCGCGCAACGTCCATGCGGTTCGTTTTTTCGTCGTAGAAGCGAATCCATTTCTTCAAATCGCGGAGGACCTCGAGGGCGTCGTCACCGAGCTTGTATCGGCCATCGTCGTCGGCACTTGTGCCACCAAGCTATTTCCCGGGTTAGAAGCCAAACGAGAGGAGGTGCAGAGTGGTGCCGAGGCCGCCAATACATACCGCGGATACGAGACTGTTGATGTGCGCGCGAACTTCTGGATGGACAATGTCCGTTGTCCCGTCCGGCATCTCCATTTTTTCTGGCTTGGGAGGGCTCAAGATGATGACAGAATGCAATTGAACTGCAGCGTTGTCTCCATCTACACACCACACCCAGAAGTGGCAGAAAATACTTGGAGGGGACGAGGGCCGGGTCAAGCAGGCGACGCGTTCGACGCGGACAAGCGCGTCAACGGAGCGCTACCTTAATTGACGACCCGCTCTTTGTGGCTTTGATAAGATACGTCCCGCGATCTCTGATAAGATAAAGGAGAGTGTGGCTGGTGCGTAAACGACCGCGGCTAACCTCGGCATGGGCTTCATCACGGCCTTGGACCAGGAACGACATCTGTCCACGTACATCCGCTCTGTAGCTCACTCAATCCTTCAAAACAAACATTCCGACGCTTTTGTGTCTTTAATGCTTTACTGATACGCTCAATTGTGCCTTTGCGAAACATCAGCCGTTTGCGGGATCACGCCGAAAAAGCCCATCAGGCATCGTCGATACCTCACTAATCCCTGTACTGTGACGTCTTGCCTTCCTCAACAGCCATGGCGACCGCAATTGCTCGCGTTCGGGCGGTAGCCAAGCTCCCCGGACAGTTTCGTGCCTTCAGCTCGACTCCCATCGCGGCTTCCGCAACTGGAGGAGTAAAGCGATTGGGTGTCATCGGTGCTGGGCAGATGGTGAGAGAGCCTGGAATTCGCATGTGAAAGTCCATCATCAAATAATTAACCGGTCAAACTAGGGACTCGGCATCGCTCTTGTGGCGGCCCAGAGAGCACAAGTCCCAGTGACGTTGGTTGATGCCAACAAGGCGGCCCTCGACAAGGGACTGTCGTTTGCTGGTGAGTTTACGGAAGTAGCTCGAGCTTGTCACCGGTGACTGACGACTCGACAGAGAAGCTTCTTGCAAAGGATGTATCCAAGTCCCGGATCACTCAGGAACAGGCCGACCAGGCCCGCTCACTCCTCTCTCCGGCTACTTCCCTTGATGAGCTATCGGATGTGGACTTTGTGATTGAGGCCGTTCCCGAGATCCCCAACCTCAAGTTCGAGATCTTTGCCAAACTTGCCGAGGTCTGCCCCAAGCATGCCATTTTGGCCACCAACACATCATCCATCTCCATCACCCGGATTGCGGCCTCGACGACCAAGGACCCTACAGACACCTCTGCCAGCTCCCGCGTCGTCTCAACCCACTTCATGAACCCGGTCCCCGTCCAGAAGGGCGTCGAGATCATCAGCGGCCTGCAGACCAGCCAGGAGACGCTCGACAAGGCCATTGCTTTCTGCAAGGCCATGGGCAAGGTCACCTCCGTCTCGGCGGACTCGCCCGGGTTCCTCGCCAACCGCATCCTCATGCCTTACATCAACGAGGCCGTCATCTGCTTGGAGACCGGCGTCGGCGACAAGGAGTCCATCGACGCCATCATGAAGAACGGCACAAACGTGCCAATGGGCCCGCTGCAGCTCGCCGACTTCATCGGCCTCGACACGTGTCTCGCCATCATGAAGGTCCTCTACGAAGAGACTGGCGACTCCAAGTACCGACCCAGCGTGCTGCTGCGCAAGATGGTCGATGCCGGCTGGCTGGGCAAGAAGAGCGGGAAGGGCTTCTACGATTATTGAGACATGAGCTAGGGAGTAATTCGGATGGAAAGAAAGTGTGTTTGAGTACCGCAGTAGGGACTTGAGTGCTGCTAGGGTAGATTGTGTCAACAGAATGGGAAACAATCCAAGCCTTGCGGAGGCCGCCTGCTAGCATTCCCCGTCAACGTTTCTGTGTTTTCCAGTGGGTATCTGGTGATGTTCACTGTAGAGTAAAGGAAATGAGTCTTTATGGGCTCGACTCCATAATAACCCAAAGCGAGGTTGCCTATACCACATACTGTCTCGGTAGACTAGAAGGCCATGGAAAACATAAATTGTAGGCGAGATATCACAACCGGGATTCGGACAACTGTATTTCGGTTGTGTCTTTCGACAATGAAAAAGATCCTCGTGGTCTCATCTAACCATCTAGTTCGCCATCCTGTTTGTTTTGACAGGTCAGATGCCACGAGACAGCCCCAAACAAAAATACCGACTCCATAGGCCCTCGAGGGGTCGGTGGCCCGGCACTGGGTTCCAGAGCCTCTCTGTTACCAAACAACTTCACAATCCGGACAAGGCAACTTACATCAGGCCAAGATTGGTTAAAGCGTACATTGCCCAAGATGACATGCCACGCCATCGACAGAACCTGCGGGTCAACCGCCTCACAACCATGAGTAAGTCATACCCTCTCTGATGTAACCGTACGGTCTCGAAGAGCTCCACTGCGAGAAACAAATCAGAAGCAGCTGGATATGGTTCGGTTATCATCAGAAGCTTCAGCCGGTATATTCGCTTACCCGACCACCCCGTGAAGCTTGAAGAGAGGTCAACCAAAAATCAGGCTGAGATGCTCCAGCTTACAACTCGCTTCTGTCTGGCCCCCCGCCACAATAACAGGGCTCAGCTTCCCGTCACGGCCACAATTAGAGTGGGATACAACATGAACTCCGCCGTCCTCTCTTCACGACCGGGGGGCATGTTGAACAGCCGAGGCCTTGGAGACAATTACAAGTATATTTCACAGAGGCATCCAGCTTTCACGTCTGACTGGATACCGACGGGAAGCGGTCTATGGGTTCTTAGGGGTCCCTTCGTACAAGTTCTCAGGCTCCTCTTGGGGGTTTCCCCCAGAACCCCCTCGGTGAGGCACTTCAGGGGTTCGTTCGGCGTCACCGAACCAAAAATTGAGGCACACCGTCCATTGGACAACATGGAGCTGGCCCGGCTTAGCGAGCACGACTGCGCGCCGGGGGGGTTCAAGAAGGGAACATGAATTACACCAACCGGTTGTGGAAGGAAAGTTCTCTGCCTAAATGCCAGAGCCGATCGGCTCAGTTAGACTCAGAGTATGTCTTCTCCTCGACGTGGTCCATAGAGTTCGACGGTTTGAGATGCAAGATTGACTTCAGGGAGATGAACTCTCCACCTCGTGCCGCGCGCAGCCTTCAACGACGTGGCAGGGAGGGAAAGGGGGTAAGAGTCTGGTAGACGAGCTGTCGCCACTGCGAGAGATCAAGTGCCGGGCAAAGCTAATGCCGCTCGATGGCTAGACCACCGAGGGCGTTGTCACGGGGAATCGTTCGACAATTGCCGGGCCTAATCAATGAGCTTCCACGCCTGCCACAGGGGGAATACGACGTTGGGCAGAGCGGTGCTCCTGCTAGCGTCTCGGAGTTGGATGGCCAGGAGCTTCAGAGTGGCAATGCTGAATGCTCGTTTGGCGTAGATTTTGACGCGGGACAAGTGATGCCGTCATACCCAAAGGATTCATCCGAAAAAACCGCTCTGGGCTGGTCTCTTCATCTCAAGCGAGACGACGGTCCATCACTGACGCACGCACGGTTTGTTTTTGACACCTTCACCCATTGGACGAATGATAATGGTCACGATCACGAGTCTCAGACCAGAGCGACGGTCTCAGCATCCCAACGGGGCAACTTTTCACCTCGGGAAAACTGGTGGCGAGATTCTTCTAGGAGTGTTACCCGTGGTCTGCCTCGAGCATGGTCTCGGGTGCTTCCTACGGAGCGACCGCCGGATCGACGAAGCCCGCCTACCCGTCTGTCTGGTGGCACCCCACGGGAGGCCGGGTGGTTGCGCCCCAAGGGAATCACAGAGCACAAGTCCAGCACACGGGATCCCTTTAGCGCTGGAGGCCAATATATCGGACACTTGGGGCGCGGGAACCGAAACGGCGACGAGTCTTCGGCACTCAGCCGGAATGTGCATAGCCCACGGGGGAAACATGGAGCCCGAACCGATGCTTGCCGGGCGGGTGGCTCCAGGACGGAGCAATTATCCAGGCCGGGAGAGGCGAAACCTACCAAAGGACCGGAAGTGGATGGAACCGACTGCTAGATGCCTCCCCGGGGCTACGTGCCGTGTTGTCAGGAGACGGACGGGCTCCCACGAGTAACCGGATCCTACCCTCCCCGAAAGGAGAGAGGCCGCAGCTCCCCAATGTGATCACATCCAGCCATACAGCCCGTCCCATCCATCCAGCCATCCAACCCGCGCAGCGTCATCGAGGAGATCAACCGGCGGCTCGTCGATCTCAACCCCGCCCCAGGAGGCCACCCGCCCGCCCGCCAGCGATCGTTTGCCACCAAACATGTTGCGGGCCTGATAAACGCCAATATGCCTGAATGTAGGCCGCGCGATGCTTCCTGTTTGGGTATACCATGATGTGAAACAGGGCGTGCGGGGACGCGTGGGCTGGCTGAAGCGACCAAACAGAAGCGAGTGCTCCAGATGCGCGGGACACGTGTATGTCTGCAACGACGGGGAGGGAGAGCGGAAGGGAGGACCTTCCTGCCCAGGCGCGGCGAGAAACAACGGCATATCCAACGGCTGGGGGGCCCAGCGGGCAGCGGTGGGCGTTTGGCGCAGGTTAATGACGAGCCGTCCGGCTCCGACAGGCAAAGGAGGGCGAGTCGGGAAAGCGAGTTCGGATTCCCAACGTTGGAGCTCGGCCGTCCAGCGAAACCTCTGGTTCGACCTCGAGTCGGCCAGGGCTGTGCTACCGACTGCGGCTGCGAGCGAAGGGGCCCGCCGAGGCGAAGTTGAAAGCTGTCAAGTAGCTCGCTACCGATGTGCTGCAAACGTCGCGGCCAGACGCTCGGGACTGCCCACCCTTGACGGCGCGCCTGGATGAGAGAAGTCATGAATAATGCATTGGCCTATACGGGCTTCTCGGTCTGAACAGCTCAGGCCAGAGTGCCTCAGCTAAGGCCATCTGGAAAGTGTAAAAGGGCGCACGGGGCGGCACTTGCGCCTCGAGGACCAAGTAGTCAAACTCACTGTACGTTGCTACCTGCAGGTGATGCGGGCCCCAACAACAGACGAAAGATTGTGCAGCTTGCCGCGGATCCCGAAGGTGGTGCGAGATGATGGGAGGAGTACCCTCACAAAACGAGGAACACAAGGCACGTGGCTCCCCTCTCGATCGCCGCCACGGTTGACGGCCGTCCTGCGCAGCAGACGGGGATGGGCAGGTCGCTAAGAACAGGACTGGGCTGAGATGGAGCCAAAGAGGATGTAAAATTAGCCCACTGATGCTATTTCGAACATTGGCATAGCCTGGCACGGCATAGCATGGCAGGGCCGGCGAGCAAGGATGGAGGAGTGGGCTGTAGCTGAAGAGATGCGAGTGCCACAGCAGGAAGATGGGACGAAGTGCACAAAAAAAAAACGGGATGGGAGGAGAGTTCGCAACGATGTGATGGACGAATGGGGGTTAGGTTCTGGTTTGGGATGGGCGGGAATGCCGTCGCGCCATGGCGCGGGTGTGGTAAAACAGGAACGGCAGACATCTTTCAGACGTCAATCGTCTCAAGTCAGCCCCGACAACCCGGCAGCACGCAAAAGGCTGAATGACTAAGACGGCAATGTGACGTTGGGCCCAAGTGCGGGCAAGTGGCAGCCGGGTGGTGGGTGCATCATGCAACGAGCTGCACATGGCAGAATAAGGTAATGTGTGTCAATGCCGCGGCGTGCCAAGCTTAGCCATATAAGCGCTGTTAAGTGTGTGATATAAGGCGATTTCGAGCGCGCGCTTTCCCATGTAGTGATTCTCGCCCTTGGCCTGCTTGGGCGGACATGCTTGACGGCTGCGACTCATAGTTGGGGTTTTAAGATGTGCTAAAAGCGGCCCTAACGCGCCTTTGCCGAAGCCAGCTGGGCTGAGGGACTGAAGACAAGAGAGCTGGCTGGGTCTCTTAGCACGGCTCTGATATTGATTCCCCACACCATTCGGCTCAACGACAACGTTACGTGCAAGGCACCAGGCACACTGCAGCGGCACTAGCAGCAACCAGCAAAGCAACACGCTGCAACCCAAGACAGGCTAAGGCGCGGCAGGCCCGGGGGCGCCGCGCCGCAGAGGTGCACACCGCACACCGAAGAGCCACAGGCACAGGCACAGGTACAGCCAGGGCAGCCCGCTGGAACCTGGGGACCGGGGGAAGCCAGCCTGTTTGACGCTAAGATTGGGCAGGGCAATCGGGTGGACGTCGTTGTTGGCGCGCCGGCGGGGTGGTTTTTTTCCCACGGAGTTGGGCCCGTCGGAGCGGTCTTTTATTTTTACTGTCCCTTTTTTGTTTGTTATTTGTTTCGATTAATCATGACCCTCGCCGTCTCTTTCCTTTTTTTCGCTAGGGCTCAATTTTGGTATGAAAAGAACCGGGGTTAGGTGGGGGATTTTCTTGTGCCGAAACCGACGGATCGCATCTCGCTTTGCTGCAAGGAGCACTGCTTCGCGGACATGCACACACACACATAGACACACACCAGAAGGAATTCGACGCGAGACGGCGCGGCCTGCATGGAGGTCACGACTGCTACCCTGCGACACTCGTAAGGCATAGAGATGCAAACACGCATACACACCAACACGGCTTGCTTGGTCTCGCCGTGCGGAGGAAGACGAGGAGGAGAAGGAGGGCCAAGAGAAGGGGCAACCGGGGAAGATGGCCGGAAAGAAAGTACTGAGGAATGGTCCGGCAGTGATGCAGAACCCGACTGGTGGATTCCAG